CTTCCTTGAAATGATGGAGGCTCGAAGTCGAGGCCATGCATCCCCTTTGGCAGCCAATGGGCAGAGTCCATCCTCAGGCTCCCAGTCGCCAGTTGTGCCTCCAAGTGCTGTATCCACAGGGAGCTCCAGCCCCAGCACTCCCCAGCCTGCCCCCCAGCTGTCCCTCAGTATCTCCTCCACCTGTCCCCAAGCACCATCTCCTGTACCCCCTTTGGAGGCTGTGCCCTCCTCTGTGCACCCTTCAGCCCCAGCTCCAGCCCAGCGTCGCAGTATCATATCTAGGCTGTTTGGGACCTCACCAGCTGCAGAAGTGACCCCTTCACCTCCAGGTAGGCCTGGGAACAGCCCTCTCAACATGTGAATTTGGAGCTAGCTTCTGGCATCTTGAGCCTCATGGCCCTCAGAGACTGGAATGTGGTTCCTGTACCCCTAATAAGCTCCTCCCTCACGGGCCAGCCACTGTTTATCCCAGTTCTAAAGTAGCCTATGATCTTGAGCCAGGGTGCATGAATTGTCAAGTCCCAGTCCTTACAGGCTCAGTTTTGAGGCCTTCCTATCATGGGTGACGGGACCACATAAGGAAGAAACAGCATTTCTCTACAGAACCAGCTCCAGCCCTAGAGGCCCCAGCAAGAGTCCAGAACGTTGATGATTTTGTCCCTGAAGATGGCCTTGACCGAAGCTTCCTGGAAGACTCAACCCTGCCTAAAGACAAGAAGAAAATTGGAGCCAACGATCCACAGCAGGATAGTGACAGGTAAGGATAGGTTGGTGGAGCTGAGCAGGGGGTTCTGCCTCAAGGGACAGCCAACACAGCTTTCCCATCCTATTTATACCTGAATCTCAAAGACAGTGCTGGGGATTGTGGACACAGCCTTTCTTTGTGCTTGCTGGGTTGGCAGCTAGCTTTAAGGAGAAGGCTGGACTGGAAAAACAGAGGGAAGGGCTCAGGCCATGTGTCAAAGGCCTGCTTAGACTAATCAGTGCCACCCTGGGGTATGTAGACAGCTAGCTCACCATGGAGTGGGGCAGTTTATGCCCACAGCAGACTGGAGAACACTGGGCTGGAATCTTCCTAGGACAGCAAGAACCTTGGCAGATGACCTAGCAGGGACAGAGGCACTCTGAATACATCCTAGCCCAGTCTATGTGTAGGGCATAGGTAAGGCCACCTGGGTCTCTCCATATGGACCCAAACAAGCAAGCCTTGGCCAGGTCTGACTTCCTGCAGCTATCCCTTTCCACAAACCCCATCTGTCTTCTAACAACACTCTAAAACCTGTGTACGGCCAAGCTCTAAGATCACTCCCTCTTACAGATCAAATGTTGAATGACTGCTAGCATCTCCAGCATCATCATGTTCAACGGAGCCAAGGGCTTCCCTTCCAGAAACAAATAGATTCAAGGCTTCTAACTAGGCCCCTCTCCCACCAATTTCCTCATTGGCCAGCAGCAAGGCAGTGTTGTCCTATTATTCCCACCTATATTCAGCAGCCCCTGTGACAGCCCAGAAGGTCTTGCCAATAGAATATGGTACTATAGACAGGGCAGCTCTACAGGCAGTAGGGTGGGGAATCATAGCCCCCCTCGAACTTCTGATTTCCTTCCCCCTTGTTGCAGTGATGATGGGGAGGCCATAGGAGGGAACCCAATGGTGGCAGGTTTCCAGGATGACGTGGACATAGAAGATCAGCCTCATGGCAAATCCCTGCTGTCCTCAGACCCCATCCCCAGTAAGAACATCAGTCTTTCCAGTGAGGAGGAAGATGAAGGACTGGCAGGCCACCCCAGAGTGGCTCCTCAGCCGTGCTCAGAGCCTGAGACAAAAAGGTATGGGCTGGGGTCCCCGGGGTATGGCCAGCTGAGATAGTGGCATCCTAAGGTGGCCTCAGAACTCCTGACATTTCTTCTTATGTGAAGGATCTCCACCAAGGCCTCCCATCCACAAAAGAAGGGAGCTCCCAACAGAGCCATGCCCTCATGGTCTGATGGCCTCACCACTGGCTCAGGGACTGACCTCGGCAATACCAAGCCACCCACTGATGGCTCTAGACCTCAGGAAGGAAGGGACAAGCAGGTGTCATCAGAAAGTGATCCTGAGGGGCCCATTGCAGCCCAGATGCTGTCCTTCGTCATGGATGACCCTGACTTTGAAAGTGATGAATCGGACACACAGAGGAGAATGGTAAGGATAGTGGGAAGGTCAGCCTCCATCCTTCCAGAGATAGAGTACAATCAAGGTTTGTTTCCCAGAGCAAGGTTTGAAGAGAGGCAGGAAGAAGAGTGTTCCCGGCTCCAGTGCCCCAGAGACACAATCCCCTCTTAACATGTTTCTGGAGCTGCTAGAGTCCATGGGAGGGTGTCCATTGCCCACATGAAGGCCCTGCTGATCTTTCTAAGTTTGGGTCAGGTTAACCCCTTTCTACCCCACACCAGCCCCTGTTTTCCCAAAGGGACTTGCCATCGTGCTTCAACCCATGGCAGTTGTCAGGACAATAGGCCTACCAACTACTCTCTCTGTCCCTAGGGGGGCTTCCCAGTAAGAGAAGACCTCTCTGATGTGACCGATGAGGACACTGGCTCTGCCCAGCTACCCCTGCCTTCCAAGCCTCCAGTCTCTGCTTTCAGACTGAAGAATGACTCAGATCTCTTTGGGCTGGGCCTGGAGGAGACAAGACCTAAGGAAAGCAGTGATGAAGGTAGGAGGCCTGGGGCTTGTCCCTCTCCTTGGAGCCTTGTATAACTTGGAGGTCCTTATCCTGTGGTAGTTTAGGGACCTGTGTTTAGAAATTTTAGCCTGGCCTACCTACGGTTTTTCTTCATCATAGCTATAACTATGGGAGGAACTATGTCACAACAGCTGGCTTTGCCCAGGCAAGCACATGACCAAACCTAACATCTGCATTGTGGCCCAGAATTGTCATCCAAAACTGTCACCTGTTCATGGTTCCCTGTGGATCCCCCTCTGTGCCAACTGCTCTGCCAACATTCCAGGCTTTCAAGTGTCCCAGGCCTTTGGAACAGAACAATTTCAGAAAGAAAAAAAATGCTAGCTGCCTAGCAGATATGCTTGGAACTCCAGCCCAGAGATGGCTCAGCACAGAAATACGCGGGAACCCCCTAGATTCCCTGTAGGACCAGGCCTTGTTGGAAATCGGGTATCCATACAAAGTGGTTACAGTTCAGCTGTCTTCCTTGTGCAGATAAAGACAGCAAACTTCCCTCAAAAGAGAAGAAGAAAAAGAAGAAGAAAAGCAAAGAGGTACGTGCCCCGCCCCCTAATCTCACAGCTAGCCTGGACAGTCCAGGGTCCTGGAAGGTGGGGTATATAACCTTGTGGGTTGTCCATTGACTCGAGATCTGCTCTCATGACCTTCAGGAGGAAGAAAAGGCTACAAAAAAGAAAAGCAAACACAAGAAGAGCAAGGACAAGGAGGAAGGCAAGGAGGACCGGAGGAAGAAGAGGAAGCCCCCTCGGAGCAAGGAGCAGAAGGCTGCAGATGAGCTGGAAGCCTTCCTGGGGGGTGGGGCCCCTGGCAGCCACCACCCTGGAGGTGGGGACTATGAGGAGCTCTAGGCATTCCAGAGATGTTGGTTGTCCTGGGAAGAGGGGAACTGTCAGTGGCTGATTTGGGGAGGCTGCTGCCTATGTGCCCATGTTCCCAGGACCACCCTGTCGCCTATGTCCCCCAGCCATTGTGTCTACCCTCATGTGGTCTGGCCCACTCTACATTGGTTTTTGTGCTGGAGACCTTGGTGGTGGTTAGGCCCTTGGTCAGGCGCTGCAGGTGCTGGGCCTCAACCCAGCAGAAGCCTGCTCTGCAGGGAGGGAGGGGACAGAACAGAATTGCAGCTGGCTTGGTGAACCACCTGGCCCTCCCCAGATAGAGCTGCAGCCAGTCCCCGGTGTTTCTCAGGGATGTGCCTGGGGCCGAGAAGGGACCCACCAGGGTCTGTTTACAGAGGCAGGGTGTGGGACTGCTTGGCTTCTCAAATGTCCACCACCCAGCCCCACTCCTGCTTGCCTTCCTGAGCTCTCCCAGGGCCATAGCATGGCTTGGGTTGTGGACCTTCTTCGCCATGGATCCAGAGTAGAGCGGGGCTATGCCCTGAGCACAGGTGTGCACTCAGGAGGGTGGGCAGTATCTGCTACTGCAAAGTGGCCCACACTGGGTAAGGCTGGCAAGAGAACACAAAGTACCACCTCTCCTGTGGGAGGGGCACTAACAGCTTGCCACTGTGTGCCAGCTGTGCCTCTGCCTGTTCAGCGCCTGCGCAGGTGAGCCTAGAGGGCGCCTTCTAAAGACACTCCGCCCAAACTATAAAGCTCTCCGATTTTACTGTGGTGTGTGACTGTTTTCTGGTTCTCTAAACTGCTTTAAGATGAGGCCACCCGCTGGGTAGTGGTGGCACAAGCCTTTAATCCCAGCAGAGGCAGGCGGATCTCTGATTTTGAGGCCAGCCTGGTCTACAAAGCTACACAGAGAAACCCTGTCTTGAAAGACCAAAAAAAAAAAAGAGAGAGAGATCACCTGATCTATGAGCCAGGTCCCCCACATCAAGCCCAAGAGCCGTTTTCGAGAGGCTCCTGTTCCAAGAGGATCATTCCACAATGCTGGCCCCAAGTGATCTGGACTTAGTGCCTAACCAATAGCTTGTCAGGCAGAGGAGCTCCCTGGCCAGGACTCAGGGTTTACCTCACAAGCAGGTGCATGGTTACTGCTGGGAGAGAACCTGGGACCTCAGAACCTGGGAAGGCAGTCGTGTGCCCCACTCCCTGCCTGCTAAGAGTCCGGGGGCGCCTGCAACCGAGCATTTCGCCCCCGCTGGCAGCTCTCCACCCTCGCCCACTACGGACACGTTGCCATGAGAACCCTCCAGAGGCGGGCAGGCTTTTAGCGCTGTTAGTGACGTAGGAGGTGGTGCATACTGCTGTGCCTACTGGGGGGCCGAGGCTGAGAGTGCTTTCCTGGGCCTGGGATCGGGGGTCTCCTTTCCTGCTATGAGGGCTGTACACACAAGACAATTGGTAGCAGAGCAGGTACAATGGGACAAGCATTACCTGGCCCTTTAACCCCCATTTTTGGACCCCTGATGTGGAGAAAGGGCCTACAATAAGTTAGCCCAGGGCTACCCTATGAGCTGAAGCACCAGGATCCTGGCAGGTCTGATATCTGTGGCCCATCATCTACCAAACCAGAATGCTGGAAGGTCTGGTGCCTCCTGTAAGGGGCAGGCAGGGCTGGAATGAGGAGTGGACCACATGAAGACCTTCCCCCAAAGGAAGCAGGCGGTGGCAGCCCAGGCTATCCTGGACACTGGAGGTTGCAGCTGTACTCCAGGCTGAGCAAGCCATCTGGCTCCTAGGTCCCTGCTGAGATTTTGGCCTCTTCAGAGCCAAAGAGGACAGTTCCTGGGGAGAGGCCAATGGGGCAGGGAACTGCTCATCTGCTCCCACCTGGGTCCAACCACAGACATGCATTCTGGAAACTCCCCAAACCCAGAGTTTCTGCCGCCAAGCCAAGATTTTGGGTTTCTGGCAGGGCCCTGCCTGGAGTCCTGCAGGAAGGCTGTTCTTGGTGCAGGGAACCTCTTCAGAGCTTGGGGATGCTATTAGTGACCTGTCACTCTACACAGTCCAAATGAGAACTAGGGCGACCAGTCGTATCTAGACCCCCACTATACACCTCCCTTCAAGCGCGGCCCCTTTAAGTGCCACCCTACTAATCACCACTGGGGGCAGCACTGAGCGGCCAGGCCAGGACCAGAGCTGCTGCCTCCAAGCTTCTGCCGGTACCGGCTATATAGCGGGGCCAGGTACACACCGGAACCGACTTGAATTATGCAGCCTACCTAGGTTCAGCTCGTGGAGAAATAATCAGGTAAGAGGCCGAGCCAAACTGTTCAGCATGTTGAGCTCTTGGCACGGGAGGGGGCTGCATGAAAGGATGAGTCCCCGCCCCCAAGCAACGCAGCCTAGGTCCTAGCGATGGCTGCTCCCAGACAGGCCAGAGAAGGGTTGCTATGTGGGAAGGGTCTTCGAAATATCTAGGATACAAAAGCAGTCCCTACCCCCATTCCACAGGAGCGGGTGTCACATCACCCAGCTCCTGACAGCTGCAGCCAGCAAAGCGTGCTGTCACCTTCTGGGGCGGAGCCTCAGACCCTGTCATCTAGCCCAAACTCTGACCTGGAATTGACTCTAAAATGAAAGGAGTCTGAATAGGGTCGACATGAACCTGGGTTTGAAACAAGCCTTGGTACTTAGTGAGCCCTGGCTCCAAAACAGGCCCCTCTAACAGAAAGCCCCTTCTATACCCGGGACTAGAGACTGACCCTGAAAGGCCCATCCACCTACAAGCCCTGCCAGGCCCAACACACTCTCAGCTTACTCTGGAGCAAACATCCTGGGAGTGGGTGCCTTAGAGGGGGAGGGGAATGTCATCACCTTCTGAAACCTTTCTCCAGCCAGCTCCACACCCTGGGGACCACAGACACTGGTGGCCCACATCTGAACATTAGCCTAGATCCTTTCCAGTTCATAGCTCCAGGGAGGTACAACCACACGTTTCCATGGAGCTTTCCAAAGCCAGAGGGGGGGGGACGACTCTGTCCTGGGGAGGGGCTTTCCCACCCTTTCTTCTGCTTTCCCACACTCTCTGTCTCCTCCTAGCTGGCAGCCTCCTGCCTTGGTACACTAGTGGTAGTTTGCAGCTCAGGAAAATGACACTCTGAGTTCGTGGCTCACATGGCCCCCACGTGGTTCTGCAGACTAGGGCTTGGCTCAGGAATGTCAAGCCACACACTGGGGGTGGGGTGGAGGGGTCATTGTAATTATGCAAAATAGGAGGGGCTTGCGCTGCAGCCTTCTCTGCCTTAACAAGCTTGATGGGCTTCATCCAAGGAACTGGGCCAGAGATTTATGCAAAAGGAAAAGGGACTTGAGACTCAAGAAACCTCTTTGGGGTCATTCTTCTACCTAGGACCTCATCAAGTTGAAAGGACATAGGCCTTCATAGGTAAAAAGGACTGACTGTACCACATGTAAGGGCACTTGCAGCGCTAGGAGAGGAGTTCTGTGTCCAGCCTAGTCAGGAGGCAGACACCCAGGATTTAGCACCATCAGAGGGTAGCTCTGCAGGGCTGGTGGGTGGGGGATCTATAGTCTCACCTGTAAGGAAATCTAAAAGCCCATCATTCCAACCATAGGCACCAGAGGGCAGTAGCTCTGCAACACATTCTCCCGTTGATGTACCCAAGTCTGGCCAGCGGACCCTAGTATAGGGAAGAGACTCGGGAGTTCCCGCTGCAGGGACAAAGGTGGGTTCACTGTAAACTAAATTCTCCTGGAAAATCTGCCCCACAGGCCGCATGGACTGTGAGGTTTCTCCTTCAGGTACTTCTTCTAACATAGGTATGGAGCCAGCACCAGAAGCCCTGACCAAGACCTGCAGCCTGGGCTGCTCCATCCCCTATGCCCCAGGTAAGCCGGACCAGCACGTGGGGTGGGGTGGGGATAAAGGGCTTTGGGTGCAGAGGAGGCTGCCCTGACCTGTATCTCCTCCCAGGGCAAAATCCCCCAAAGGCCGAGTGACTGGAGCTGCCAGCCTGGGGACGTCTTTTAAGATGACCCGCACGGACCCTCCGGACTTGCTGGTGTCGACCGTGTACCAGGACATCAAGGTAGTAGCCCCAGGGCTCACGTCCAAACAGCAGCCATGTGAGAGATCCGTGACCCGGCCAGCTGCGCCCGCGCCTTTCAACAAGCGCCACTGCCGTAGTTTCGACTTCTTAGAGGCACTGGACGAGCCCACCATGGAGACACACCAGCAGCCACCACCTCCCGAGCCTGCGCCACCGCGTGCCCGGCCCCGAGACAGCGAGCCTCGGCGCCGCACCCGTTCCAAGAGCGCACCCCGTGCGCCCCAAGGCCTGACACCTGCTCCGGCTTCACCGCCGGTACTGCAACGCAGAGGCCGGGAGGCCCAGCGTTCGGTGCGGTTGGAAGGGTCGCCGCACCGGGAACCCTCGTATCCTGCGCTGCGGGCTCTTGCCAATGAGCTGCACCCCATCAAGCTCCAGCCACAGCGAGGCGGCCCTGGACGCATCGCACCTTTATGCTCCACCCCAGGCCGCTGTGCGCCCCCCGAACCACCCACGGGACCCACAGGACCCGTCCCCCACGTCCGTTGCCGTTTGGACATCAAGCCTGATGAGGCAGTGCTGCAGCACGCCGCCCGAAGCTCGAGACCTTGCGCGCCCAGCGAGGCGCCCTGGGCTCGCACAGTCCCACAGTTCCATGGCCTCACAGTTCCAGGGCCCCGCCATATGGCCCTGTCACGCACTCCCACCCCTAGTGACTTGTACTGTACTGACCCCAGAGCAGTGTACTGCGACGGGCCTCTGCCTGGGCCCCGGGACTACTTGGAGCACCGCAGTCAACCCTTCACAACGCCCCCGGGTCCCACCCAATTTTTCTACACGGAGGAACCTGAGGGCTACGCAGGCAGTTTTACCGCAAGCCCAGGCCTTCCCTTTGATGGCTACTGCTCCAGGCCCTACTTGACCGAAGAGCACCCCAGACCCAGTCCAAGGCGTGGGGGAGGCTACTATGCTGGGGAAGTACGCACCTTCCCAATCCAGGAGCCCCCGTCCCGCTCCTACTACGGGGAGACACCTCGAGCCTACGGCCTGCCTTTCGTCCCCCGATATGTCCCAGAAGAGCCCCGGGCACACCCCAGTGCCCGCGCCTTCTACACAGAGGACTATGGGAGGTTCCGTGAACGGGAAGCAATGACTCGGACTTATCCACATCCCCGCAGCAGCCCAGCCTGGGCCGACTGGGGTCCGAGGCCTTACCGCACCCTTCAGGTGGCGCCTCCTCCGGCTCCTGGACCACTGCTGGCCTCATGGCACGGCGGCACTGGCACAAGCCCACCCCGGCTGGCGACCGATAGCCGCCACTACTCTCGATCCTGGGACAACATCCTGGCTCCCGGTCCTCGTCGTGAAGACCCTCTAGGACGTGGCCGCAGCTATGAGAACCTGCTGGGCCGTGAGGTTCGGGATACACGGGGTTCATCCCCGGAAGGCCGGCGTCCACCAGTCGTAGTGAACCTGTCCACCTCACCCAGACGCTATGCAGCACTGTCACTGTCTGAGACGTCGCTGACAGAAAAGGGCCGCGGTGGGGAAAGCCTGGGCCGCAACTGGTACATCACGCCAGAGATAACCATCACCGACAACGACCTACGCTCAGCAGAGCGCCCCACTGCCAGGGGCTGGGAATTGCCTAGAGGCGGACCGCGGCAGCCCGCACCCAGCGTCCCTGAGGGCCCTGCCTCCAGCCGCCAGCGCAGCCTCGAGCAGTTGGACGAGCTCATCACCGACCTGGTCATCGACTCACGGCCACCGGGCCAAGCCTCGGAACCTGCCCCCGAAGGTTTAGGCCGCCAACTGCGCCGCCTGCTGGATTCACGGCCTGCGGGCCCTGGAGGAGCAACCACGCTGGCTCCGTCGCGCTCGCCCCCGGCCTCGGCTGGCAGCACCGAGGAGCCCACCGGCTCGGGCGAGGCAGCCGACGCTTCCCCGGAGCCCAGCGCCGACGAGGATGACTTGATGACCTGCTCCAACGCGCGCTGTCGGCGGACAGAGACCATGTTCAACGCCTGCCTCTACTTCAAGTCATGCCACAGCTGCTATACCTACTACTGCTCGCGTCTGTGCCGCCGAGAGGACTGGGATGCGCACAAAGCGCGTTGCGTGTATGGCCGCGTGGGCAGCGTGTGCCGCCACGTGCTGCAGTTCTGCCGCGACAGCAGCCCAGTGCATCGCGCCTTCTCGCGTATAGCACGCGTCGGATTCCTTTCGCGCGGCCGTGGCGTGCTGTTTTTGGGTTTCCCAAGCCCGGGCTCTGCAGACAACTTCCTACGCTTTGGCCTAGAAGGGCTACTGCTGTCGCCTACCTATCTATCACTGCGCGAGCTGGCTACACATGCGGCGCCCCTGGGTAGCTACGCACGAGAACTGGCAGCTGCCGGGAGGCTCTACGAGCCCGCCGAGTGCTTCTTGCTCAGTGTGTCGGTGGCCGTGGGCCCCGGAGCTGCACCCCCGGGAGCCGCTGCCCGGCCAGCGCCGCGCAGCCCTGGGCCCACGGTGCGCAAGTTCGCCAAGGTGGCCCTGGCCGCCGGCAGCCCGACGCGGCCTCCTCCTGCGCGTGGCGGGGAGCCAGACATGGAAACGCTGATTCTAACGCCACCTCCAGGCACTGCGGGCCTGGACCAGGAGGGTGAGGCTGGCCGGCGCGCGCGTGAAGTGGCTTTCATCCACATCCAGCGTGAACTGCGACTGCGCGGCGTCTTCCTCCGCCATGAGTATCCACGCATCTACGAGCAGCTCTGCGAGTTCGTCGAGGCTAACCGGCGCTTCACACCCACCACTATCTACCCCACTGATCGGCGCACTGGCCGCCCCTTCATGTGCATGATCATGGCTGCTTCCGAGCCGCGCGCACTGGACTGGGTAGCCAGTGCCAATCTTCTAGATGACATCATGTGAGCCATGGGACTGCTAGGCCCAGGCCCTGACCAGAGCCCTGCCTACTCTATTCCACCCTGCCTGATCCATCAAGACCACCCCCAGAATCTGGACCAGCTGATTCAGCGCCCCACCATGTCTCCTGGAACCTCCCTTGGTCTACAAATTCTCTGCCCTGAGCCCCACCCTCTCCAAATCTCTAATTTTGCCTAGGAGCCCACCCCTGCCCGTCCCCCGCCACCCTGTTTCCCATCATCCGCTTCTCTTCCTTCCTGTTCTCAACCAGACCACCCAGACCACATCCAGGGCTCTCCCCAAGTCAGCCAGGAAGAGGGGGCTCCCCCAAGAGCCCGGTCCTCGCCCTCGGTGCTCCCCGCTGGGAGGTGGGGTGGGCCTGAGGACCACTGGGCTCTGCCTTCTAGTGGAAAGTTACTACTACACACACGCCATGGGGACAAACTTGATATACGTGTGGGTGCTTGCAGATCCATCCCCTTTTCTCCTAGTCCCGAAGTTCGTGTTGATCAAAGCCTAATGCCCTTACTGTAAGCACTCCCCAACCCTCCTCCTGTGTCTGGGGTGTGACAGGCTAGGAGGCCTGGTTCCTGAGCCTCCTCCCTGTGCTATTGAGGCAACGGGCAGGGCACTATCCACTAACAGTGCTGCCTGTCCTGCGTTTCTTTTAGCTCTGATCTGGGCCCTTGCAGGACCAGTTAGAATCCTGGGGCATCTTCAGGCCAAGGCGGAAGCCACCCAGCCAGAGGGGAGCCTGAGCAGGGGAAGGCGAGTGTGGATGGTGGTAGGGCCAGATTTAAAATTTGCCTGGGTGAGGGTTTGTGCTCACCCACACCTACACAACAAGATGGCCCTAAAGATTCGCCTTCCAGAGAAGGTGGAGGCTCAGGTCTGAATCTCCCAGGGAGGTGGGAAGTGTGTGTGTGCTGATGAAGTAGCAGGGGACCCTACAGAAAGAGCACTACCTGCTGACTGACTTGGGAATGATTAAGGAACTGGGACTATCCCTAAGTAGGAACTAACTGGGGTACAGGGTAGTGAGCCACCAGGTGTGACAGCCGTTAGGAAGCCGGTGCTAAGGCCTACCCTGAGTCCCAACCCTATGCACTAAAGTGCCACAATCTCGCCCTGGCTGAGCCCCAAGCTGAGCGGAGAAGCCAAAGCCTGATGTGTTGTGGAGACCATAGGCCTAGGCAGCCCTGGGCCGCTTGCCGGACCTCTGCAGCCTAACTGTACCCGGATCTGCGCCTAGGGCTCCCTGGAGGGTGTGACCCAGAGAGGCTTGAGACCAGAAATTGAACAGGCACCCTTAGGAGGTAGGGAAGGTCAAGAGCAAGAGCCTGGGACAACGCCCTGCGCGCACGCGCGCGCGGTGCGCGCATGCGTCACTACCCCCTCCCGCGCCCTCGCGCGCTGTGTGGCCCCTCCCCACCCCAGGGACAGGCCAGAGCTCCCACCTTGGCCTGTCTTAGCACCTGCCCCGATGCCGCTCTTGCAACTCTTGCTGTCGCGCCGCCTGCCGCCCTTCCCAGGGGCTCCACATTCCTTCCTGCGGCAGGCTGTCAAGAACTGGCCCATTTCCAAAAGGCCAGTAGTGCTTTCGAACCAAGTAAAATAGAACTTGAATGTAGCTGCTGCTCGCTCTGTGGTAGTGATGGTGGGGGTACGTGTGGGCGTAGGAGCTTGGCAACCGGAGACCTGGGACGTGAGGGTGTTGTGGGAGGGTGTGAAGGGGTCAGGCAGGGGGGTCCTTGAACTTGGAGAGAGATCCTCGAGCTTATGGGTGTTGGGAAAGAGAAGACTTCAGATTTAATGGTTTACACTAGGGGACTGAAGCCCTAGGACCCAGGTGTGGAGCCGGGGTGCGTCACTGCATCCTCTTTTGCTGCCCAACCTCCCGCAGCTTGCTTTACAGCATCACAGATTTCCGTATAACGCAGCGCTTTTAACTGGGACTCAAGATCTCAAAGCTGCAAAGAACTGGGTTGCAATTGGCTAGTCCGAGCCTCAGATCGGAAGTACAACTGGCTGGGGCTCTGGGCCTCAGGAAACATCCCCTCACGGGATTGGCCGCGGCTGCCAAAGGGCCCGCCTCCCGCACGCTAAGGACTCGGTCAGGTTGAGAAAAGGGTTCTGGGGTCCTGAGGCCGAGCGCTTTGGGGAACATGGCGGCGGACCTCACTCAGATTCCTGATGTGGACATCGACTCGGATGGCGTCTTTAAGTACGTGCTGATTCGAGTCCACCTAGCACCGCCCTCTGGGGAGCCGACGAAGGAGTGCAAGGAAATCGTGCGTGGCTACAAATGGGCTGAGTACCACGGTGAGGGCGGGGCCTCTGCGCCGGTGGGGGTGGAACGAAGGTTGGGGGCGGGGCCTGAATCTAGCAGTTGCTGGGGGCGGGTCTGTGAATGCTAATGTGCTGTACGTTGTACTAACACTTAGCCAGGCTGACCTAGAAGTCAGACTGGGGTTCTGGGCAGAAAGGAGTGCGAGACCGGACCCTTTTTAGTCCCCTTTCCCACTTCCAAAGTGTCTTTCTTCCGTTCATCCTTGTGCCTGCGGGGGAGGGGCTCATCTCCACTGGGAAAAAGACCACCAAGACCTGGAGCTTCAGACCTCCATATCCAGCCCTAGAATCCATTATGGGGCCAACAAGGGCAACTAGGTCATATCCTGAGGCCACTCTCCCCACCCCAGCGGATATCTATGACAAAGTGTCAGGCGAGCTGCAAAAGAATGGCTATGACTGTGAGTGCCTTGGCGGTGGACGCATCTCCCATCAGAGCCAGGACAGGAAGATACACGTGTATGGCTACTCTATGGTGAGCTCCCGGCCACAGGCCAGATTGCAAAATTCACCCTTGTGAGCCTGACCCCCAACCGGCCTCTCGGACCACCTCTGGCACTGTCACAGTTGAAGCTACAGAACCCTTTCCTCACATTCCAGGGTGGTTGGAAGCCATCTCCCTTGGACTGCACCCCTCCCTCCTTACCCTAGATCCTTATGGGTCTGTGTCCTGGCTTTTTGGGGGACCCTTGGGGCAGTCAGTGGTGGGGTCAAACTCACCGCCCCGACCATCTCCATCCCTTTTCATAAAGACCACCCCGGCATCACCTACCCAGCCTTTCAGTCCCCATTCTGTTCCCAGCATGGTTAGGATGGTAGGGTTTGGTTACTTTTCCCATGCCTGCTATTGCGGTGGCTGCTGGGTGGACTCACAGAGCAAAAGGCCAGGCAGACTAGTGGTCATCTTCTCTCTAGGGTTATGGTCGCGCCCAGCACTCTGTTTCAACTGAGAAGATCAAAGCCAAGTATCCTGATTATGAGGTCACCTGGGCTGACGATGGCTACTGAGGCCCTGCCCCTCAGCAACTAAGTTAGGACTCTGCTCTTGCTGTGCTGTCTCGAGGGGCTGGCCCTGTGCTTTCCCTTCGTACTTTGGGCAACATGCCACCTGCCAGGCCTTAGAAGCCCAGACCAGTCTGGTCCATAGGAATTAAAAGCATTGATATTCCTGCTAGTCCCTGAGTTGTGTCTTGGATTTGGTGCCCTTGGGTTGCCACAGGATATACCTCTTCAACTTCAGGAGGCCTCGGGACTATTGGTGCATACTCAGCCCTTTGGGTTCAGATAAGGAGCCCCTGAGTTGCTGTCATTTATGGCCTGATTGCTCCTCCATGAAGCTATCCCCAAGGACATCTGAGAAGAGGCCCCTCAAGGCCTTGCACAAGAAGTCAGTTCCTGACCACGCAAGAGCTGGGGTGCCTACAAGCGCCCCCTTCCTGTAGCTCATCCAGGAATCCCAGTAGGAAAGGGTCCTAGCAACGACTGTCCTGGCTAGCTGACAGGCTGTGTTGTTCATCTGTTCTCAGTCCGAGCCTGATATCCCTGAGTGGTCAGGGAAGGTTCATGATGTTACCCACAACTCTCAGGACCCTGCAGCTGCGCACTATCTGCTTGTGTCTCATTCACTCAGGATCTCTGATCTTGTGTGTGTCTTAGTCCCTGGACATTCACACCCCCGAGTCTGTCTCTGTACTGCTCTACCTCACTGTACAGGACAGTGGCAGGGACAAGCTTAACCCCTGCTCTAAGACGTCCCATGCACAGTGCGCCATTATAGGGGGTACTGATGAAAGCCAGGCATCTCTGGGGCATCCTTTACCATACCTGGACCAGCCTTTGTTGGCTCATTGACATTCCTGTAGGCTGCAAGCAGACACTACTGAGATACCCTTTTAGAGGCCAGCAGACAGGCTCAGGTGAGACAACCCCACCCCCCAGGTCATACTAAGATAAGTCATAGGCAGAGTCTAACTCCATGTGACAAGCTCGTCAAAACTCCTGACATTCCTCCTGCCTCAGCTGTGGGAAAATGAGCTTGTGTGTTCATTAAGACTTTCCTGCCGGGCGTTGGTGGCGCACGCCTTTAATCCCAGCACTCGGGAGGCAGAGGCAGGCGGATCTCTGTGAGTTCGAGGCCAGCCTGGTCTACAGAGCGAGTTCCAGGACAGCCTCCAAAGCCACAGAGAAACCCTGTCTCGAAAAACCAAAAAAAAAAAAAAAAAAAAAAAAAAAGACTATGGGACCAGTGGCTGGCACAGTGACTGCTGGGTCTCACAGATGACCAAAAGTAAACAGAGACCAGAGTCCTCCATGAACTACTCTCTCCCCAGGACCAGGACTTGCCCTGATCACACATCTGCACCCCCCCAACACACACACACACACACACACACACACACACACACACACTTTGGGAGAGTGTGCAGCGCTTGAGTTGCAGGTGGTATGAAAGTGGACACCACACCCTGACATGGGACTTGTCCTGGTTCACAGAGGTAGGTTGTTGATACTGGGCTTGCCCTGATCTGCTCCCCTAAGCACAGAGCAGGGGAGCTTGTGAACGTACACTGGATGCCCACGTGCAGCCACTGAGTAGACTGCCCTGATGTCGTTGGCCTGCACCAGGGTGGGACTGTAGGCCCTATCAGAGAATCTTAGAGCTTGCAAGTAGGGTCCCCAGCCTTTCTATATCCCAGTAGAAACTTGTAGTGGGCAGGGCAGGGCAGGGCAGGGCAGGGCAGGGAGAATGCACAGGATGGCCAAGACCTGACCTTTGGTCAGAAAGAGCCAAGCAGGGGCCCCCTTCTAGAGATACTTTTACAGCTGGATGCTCGGCCTGTTATCATTGGATGGGACCCAGCCAAGGGGCTGCAGGTATAAAGGGGCTGAGCCCTTCCCAGTGAGCTAAGTCAGCCTGTGAGGCCACCGTGAGCTAATGACCAGGTAAAGCCTCCTCCGGGCTCCACTGGGACGTCCTCCCTCCAGCCTGACCATGTACCTGCCTAGCCACCTCCTGTCACCCTTGGTCCTACTTATGGGTGAGTAAACTGAGGCCGGGATGCCAGTTGGAGTCAGGGCAGACACAGGAACTTGTCAGGAGTGGGCCTCTACAGTGGGGGCATCTAGGACAAGTCAACAAGGTGGGCATTGCCCATCTACATCTTACCTCCCTGTCCTAGAGGACAGGCCCCGGGACATCGTAGGTGACCATCTACCCAGCTTGCTGAGCCTTCGTCTGCCACTTCCCGTTATGGAACATGTGCTGCTCCCGTGGCCATCCTCAGTGTCTTCTTGCTGGGGGAGGGAGGACCCTACTAGAAGCCCTTCCAGCTCCTAGTCCTGAGGGCTCCTGTGCCTTCCCTATGGGGTGTTTCTCATCAAGAGCCCTTCCCCTTCCTGTTGTTTGCTTTTGGTACAGGGTGACAGTGGCAGTTCTTGGTAGACGCCAGGCCCCTCTTCATATAGGGCCGAGCCCTGAAGTCAGTCGAGCAGTACCTTGGCCTGCTCGTGTCTGGGGTTTGTCTGGACCCAGAATTTACACTGCTCAAAACAGCCAGTCATGGCTGGCCAGACGGCTGAGAAGGTGAAGGCATTTGCTCTCAAGCCTGATGGCATCTGTTCAGTTCCTGGGCCCCACGTGGTGGAAGGAAATAAACGACTCCCACCCCAGTTGTCCTCTGAGCGCCACACCTGCTGTACAGCACATATATGCATACAAATGCACACGTGTCTAAAAATCCAAACGCCATCGCCATGCCCTCCACTCACTCGCTGTTACTCTGCCAGCTGCACAGTCCCTGGGCAAGACCTGGGTCCCCAGCCACTGCAGAAGTCCCATCGAAGCAGTCTGCAACTTTGTGTGTGACTGCAGAGACTGTTCAGATGAAGCCCAGTGCGGTGAGCTGGTCAGGTGGGAGCGGCAGGGAGTGGCGGTTAAAGGCAGGCCCCTGACCACTCATTCTCATAGGTTTCCATGGCGCCTCAACTACCCCGAGTACCCCTTTCAGCTGCAGCTTCGAGCAGGACCCCTGTGGCTGGCAGGACATCAGTACCTCTGGCTATAGCTGGCTTCGAGACCGGGCAGGGGCAGCGCTGGATGGTCCTGGGCCTCGCTCTGACCACACACATGGCACTGACTTGGGTAAGGCCGGGGGAATCCATGTGCGTGCACCCTGTTATTTTTCTGTCTTGGTTTCATGTCTGGCCTCCTAACCTCTCACCCTTGGCCAGGCTGGTACATGGCTGTGGGGACCCACTCTGGGAAGGAGGCATCCACTGCGA